CAAAGAGGAATAGGAAAGCTTGAGTAGTTTAGCACATTTATTTAATAGCAACTCACATATTTGAGTATTAAATATTCAGATAAACTCTTTAGAAGTCTCTTCAAGAATCATTCTCATTCCACAGTATGAGATTGATGACTTTAAAATCTTGTGAGACTGTTGTAATTTCTTATTTACATGACCAATTCTTCACTTATTTTAACATTATCATCCAATGGTCATAAAATAATTCAGAATCTCCATATGGGCATTTAATAAGAATATTATAATAAAATTGGTCATGGTTGTCCGTTTCTGCAACCATAGAAAGAATAACCATTGACATTTGTTAAAAACAGTATTAAACTGATTGAATGGACTTTACACTGCATTCTCCTCAGGTAACCAATCTTTTTAGGAAAGGATAGTTAAAGTAACCTTAAAACTTCATCAGCTTTGAAATCTTTTCACTCTGAAAGTTTACATCGGATAAGGTATTGTCTATTAAAAAAACATCCTATCTTCTCTATGTGAGAAATCTCTTTTAATTGCAGTATATATTATGTTAAACAGTTAGATTAAAAGAGATATCTAATTACCAAGTTTTAATATGCGGTCTGGTCACCATCACTTCCTGGCAAATAGGTGGGGAAACAATGGAAACAGTGACAGACTTTATTTCCTTGGGCTCCAAAATCACTGCAATTGGTGACCATTGCCATGAAATCAAAAGATGCTTGCTCCTTGGAAGAAAAGCTATCCAATGGTCATAAAATAATTCAGAATCTCCATATGGGCATTTAATAAGAATATTATAATAAAATTGGTCATGGTTGTCCGTTTCTGCAACCATAGGAAGAATAACCATTGACATTTGTTAAAAACAGTATTAAACTGATTGAATGGACTATATACTGCATTCTCCTCAGGTAACCAATCTTTTTAGGAAAGGATAGTTAAAGCAACCTTAAAACTTCATCATCTTTGAAATCTTTTCACTCTGAAAGTTTACATCGGATAAGGTGTTGTCTATTAAAAAAACATCTTATCTTCTCTATGTGAGAAATCTCTTTTAATTGCAGTATATATTATGTTAAACAGTTAGATTAAAAGAGATATCTAATTACCACTTTTAATAAATTTAAGGCTTCCCTGATAGCTCAGTTAGTAAAGAATCTGCCTTCAATGCAGGAGACCCTGTTTCAATTTCTGAGTTGGGAAGATCCCCTGGAGAAGGGATAGGCTACACAATCCAGTATTCTTGGGCTTACCTTTGTGGCTCACCTGGTAATAAATTTAAGTCAAGTATATTTTTGGTTGAGATCCATAAGTGCTAAACTTTAATTACATAATGCATGTTAAGACACAAGTTCAAAAGCACTCAAGAACTTTTAAGAAACAATGAATTTTATCTCTTTTATAAAACACCAAAGCAATGAACTATTTTTCACATTAGCAAGGAATAAAACACTTCTTCAGAGATTTTTTGGGTTTTATTGGCCATGCTTTGATTCCTGTGGGATTTTAGCCACCCAAGCAGGGATCGAACTGGGGCCCCCAGCAGTTGAAGTGCAGTCCTAACCACTGGACCACCCAGGAATTCCTTATCATAGATTATTAAAGTAATGTAAATTCTATTGCAGGTTCATTGGCATTTAACTATATTTTGCAACATTTAGCTTGTGTCTCAAATTTGTTTTGATTTATAAAATTTTATAATTAACTCACCATAGTTTTATCTAGAAATAATCATTCATTGCTTATCATGTTCTTAGTTTTAATGAGAAGTACATGATTTGAAAGGAAGCAACAAACATAAATATCAGAAAAGCAAAAAACTATAGAAATACACCCTTTACCACCATCAGAAACAATTGAGAGTCCTCTATGTAGATGTATTATTAGCTTACCTTCACAATTTGTGATATTTTTCACTGAATGACCTTGTCTCCCTGACTCAACCTCTGGCATTTTATATAAACCAGAAAAGTCCAAGTCATGCTGGAAAATGTCACCCTTCTTAGTTCTTTGAACTCAGGTCTCTGTATTTAGTCAAAACAAGACCTTCCCTTACTGCTCAGTGGGTTTCCCAGGTGGTGCTAGATCTGTGAATGCTGGAAACAGAAGAGACATGGCTTCAATCCTTGGGTTGGGAAGATTCCCTGGAGCAGGAAATGGCAATCTGCTCCAGTATGCTTGCCGAGAAAATTCCATGGACAGAGGAGCCTGTTAGGCTACAGTACACGGGGCCACAGAGAGTTGGACATGACTGAGTGACTAAGCACACACTTACTGCTAATAATCTGGTAAATGAAGTCCTAATGTCGCTGCCTTTTAGCAATCATCTTGAGGGCAGCCAACTTTATAAGCACCCATCTTTATAAGCAGCCATCATTAGAGCAGACATATTTAGGGCAGCCATCTTTGTAAACTGTCTGAGTGAATTATAAGCATCACTATGAACAAAGCTAGTGGAAGTGATGGAATTCCAGTTGAGCTATTTCAAATCCTGAAAGATGACGCTGTGAAAGTGCTGCACTCAATATGCTAGCAAATTTGGAAAACTCAGCAGTGGCCACAGGACTGGAAAAGTCAGTTTTCATTCCANCTGTAGCCTGCCTGGCTCCTCTGTCCATGGGAATCTCCAGACAAGAATACTGGAGTGGACTGCCATTCCCTCTCCAGAGGATCTTCTCGACCCAGGGATCGAACCTGGGTCTCCTGCATTACAGGCAGATTCTTTACCATTTGAGTTATAGGAAAGACCTTCATACCCATCTTACCTACAGGCTGAAAACCAATCTACAATAGGGTTCTCAGTGCTAACTATACATTAGAATGACTGGGGGAGCTTTAAAATCTCAATGCCTAGGTTTCATCTTAGACTATCAATTCCAAATCTCTGGAAATGAGACCCAAACATCCATGTTTTAAAGCTTTATAGGATATTCCATTGTGTATCCAGGGTTGAAAACCACTTTTTTTATATATATAAATTATGCCTGATACTTAAACTTAGCTTAATTGTGAGATGAAGACTTTCCATGAAGCGAAATTTTCCTTCCTACTTGCTTCCTACAATTTACACATCCCAATATACAAATGTTCTTGCCAATCGATCAAAGCTTAAGAGAACTTATTTCTAAAGGACTACTCTGGCATATGTATGTTTTATAATCAGAGTATTATATCCTTATTTCACATGACAATTATGATCATGGACAACTGCTGTGGAAATGACCACCTACTCAAGTTCAGAGCACTAAACTCTGCCTGCTCACAAAAATTACTTAAGAGTTTTAAGCTATAACCTTTATGGAAGTGGGCCCTGATCAGGTCAAAAATCCCCAGAATTCTGTCTAATACATAAATTAAAAACAAATTCCTCCCATTCCTCCTCCTCTTCCTCCTCCCATCTCCTCCTTTTTGTTTCTTATTGATGGCTTTACTTGATTTCGGTTATGACTGCCTTTTAAAAAAATTAAAATATATCACTTAAAATTTAGTATTTTATAACATATATAATTAATTTGTACATTGTGAATATTTGATTGAATACACAAAACTTTCCAATTTAATTAATATAGTTTTAAGAGTAAATGGATCAAACTACCTTTTTTTCTCAGAATAAAAAATAAATAAATAAAATGCCTACAGATCTGTAATAGGGGTTTAAACTACCATTATGAATATTTTCTTTCCTATATCACTGCTCCTACTCCTCTAAATTATTTCTTCATAATTTCAGCATTTTACTCAAATTGAAGTAAAAAATATCAGAGTCATTAATATAAAATTCTACTTACATGATTCTAATTTAATTTGCTTGGGTGGGCCTGGCATTCATATACTTTAAATTCTTCTCAGGCAACTCAAAAGGGTAGCCCAGATTGAGACTGGTTGCCCTAAGCCTTGGATAGAAACTGCAGCCTAAAGAAACATTCTTCAACCAACAAGAATGTATGAATAAACAGCTTCTTGGTGGTTTTTAACACATAAATACAGACAAGTGCACACACCTTAGAGAGAGGACTAGTAATATTTTAAAATATTTAAAATTGAGAAAGGGATGCTCACCATGGTGTTTGATGTACTCCAAAGCTATGGCTGGTCTTCTATTTGCTTTTTCTTTAAAACTATTTTTTTACCTTATTTGCCTCTTCATACATATGGTTGATAGCTAAGGAGTGGTTCTAAACCCCTTCATGAGGACATTGGCTCCTGGAGACTAGCAGAAAACCTTTTGTAAAATGAGCGCTTAATTGTATTAAATTCCCCCTTCACCAAAATCTAATAGATTGACATTCCCCCACTGCTTCTTTGGAGCAGTCTCTCAAAGCTATCTGAGGTGCTGCGTCCCAGGCTGGAGCTTCATTTTGCCCCAAACAAAACAACTCGCACTCTCAAGTTGTGCATCTTTTTCAGTAGACAGAGGCAAGTAAGAGTTTTTGTTTTTTTCTTCTATTTACTTAATTCTCAGTTCAGAATTTGCATAATTTGTACCACTGCAGATCTGTGCTACAAACTAAAATACACTTACTTGAAACATTGTGCTTAAAGAATTCTAGTGTTCTATCATTATTGAATTATTTACCTATTTTTTTTTTCAGCTTTCAAAATAGTTTTATTGGGTGGTCGTATTGTCTGTGAAATACACCGGAGGTTGGTGAAGGAGACACCCATTGCATTGACTTTGCAAGATAAAGGTTTTTCATCACTAAGAAAAGGCTTGTGGTGGGGCAGGGTGGGGCATATTGGGTTTGGATTCATTTTCCCATCTTCTCTTGCTTAGCTCACATTTCTTTTCTCTCTCAGCAAGTACCAGAGGACACACACACACAAGGAAACAAAAAATAGCAAGATCAATCTCCAACCACTTCACTCCCAAGCCCTTCCCCCGACTGCACTAGGGATGGCAGGAGTCAGATAGCTACTCCTCAGCCAAAGAACACACCAGAATCCACTATCATTTTCAAATGTCTGCAAACTCAGTTCTGTGTCTTTTTCTGACAGTGACTCACCCAGATATTCCCATCCTGATGGTAGGGTTTCCAGTTTCTCCCAGTGTCACTGTACAGCATGCGATATTGGGTCACCCAGTCTGAGCTGCTGTATCTTCCTTGAGTTGCTATGGCACTGATCTGCTTCCGATTGCCAAAGTTAACCTGAAGCCACTGATAATGGTCACTGTCTGATGGAGACCATCCCCCGGCACCTGAATAAGGTAGAGACAAGAGGAGGGAAATAGGTATTTAATGTTGAACTTCTACAATTGACAATGGATCATTCTACATCTCTTAATTGGCGTTGGAAGTACTATATTTCACAGATACATTATTAACCGTCCTTTATAGATGCCACGGGGATTTCAACTAATATTCTTCTAGCAGGGTAACATTGACACTCTGACCTCTTTATGGTGTAATTATGTGCTCATTTTCTCCTGAGCAAATGTCTTCATAATTCCTCAATTAGATCTTATTAGTACATGTCAAACTGTAATTGGCTGAGGCTTGATCAATTTACCATGAATTCTTCAACTAAAAATCACTAGGAAAAGATATGTAGCAATCTAGTATTTCCTCATGTAAGGATTTATCTTTAAGCAGATCATAAATGAAACAAAATGCAACTATACACAACTCTAAAATATATTTTTACTTTAGAAAGTTCAGAGTTGAAAGAACACTACTAGCTCTCAAGATTAAGCCTAATCTTACATCCTCCTGAGACCTAAGATATATAGTAAATTAGTCAATATGTTCACTAACACTTAGAGCTATACAACCAATGACTCTAGGTGAACACATTTCTAGGAAAATAATTCGAGTCACTAAATGAAGTGAAGCTTCTTTTGGTAAAACAAAATAAATGACTGGCAAAGAGTAAGAATGTGAAAATATCCATGAGAGAAACAGCACTAACACAGAACAAAAAGACTCCTAATTTATAACAGTATGTGAAACAACTATGATTGCACATAAATAGATTACAGAAAATATGGCATGATGCTTAGTTCTAAGAAGCAATATAATTTTTTGAGTGAGTTTGATTACTAATGGTAGTAAATAATAGGAAAATATTCAACAAATTATCCAATGCACAGTATATGAGAACATATGCCTCACTTTTCAAATAAGGAATTTAAAAGCTGACAGTAAAATAATTTATTTTATGAAGTCTATGCTAATAAAGATCATTTTGCAAATCATCAGTGATATATCATTCATATAATGATATTTACAGGGCTTATTTCTGCTCTCAACTATGATAGAATACCTCTCCCACCACAATGAATTACAAACCTGACAAAATGTATAGGATTATACTTTTAAGATATTAGACAATACACCACATTGGACTCTGATTCATGAGATAAGATACACAAATGAAATGAGCCCTGCCAGCTTCCTGGCTTTCTGCATGGTTCACTTTCCAGATCACGGCATAAAAGAAAATTCTGAACAGACACAGCAGCATCACTGACTTGAAGACAGAGCAGAATCAAAGCTCTCGAGGAATACAGAATTCGTAGGCAGAGTATCAGGGAAGGGGCAGATGTGAGGAGAAAGAACTTTGGGAATGCCCATAGGGTCTCCAGTGAGTATCTTCAGTTCAGACTTTGGATGAATGCTAAGCTGTGTATTTGCAGACCAAGACTTGACAAGACAAAGCGAAGTGAGACCTGAAATGAACAATAGCCAGAAGATGCACAGTCCTGGGAGTAGTTTGATTTCAGACTGGACAAGATTGAGAGAACTTGAACAATCCTAGGCATTCATTGGTGATCTCAGAAAGGGAGTAGAATAATTTTATCTTAAAATAAGGATTCTAATTCTAATCCTACTCTGAACACATCTGAAAAAATGGTTGGTAATAAGTCTGAAAAAAGATCACGCTGATCCACAAATGAATTAACCCCTTGGTTGAATGAAATTCAACACTCCATTATGGAAGACTGGAAGTTTATTTTTCATGAGACTTTCATGAAAATATGAAAGAAACTCAACAACATTGAAGCCATAATGTCCAGCACAAATTTTTTTTTTAATATCAGATATGTGGTTAAGCAGTAAAATATGACTCGTAACCAGAGAAAAGTCAGTTAGTGGTAATAGACACAGATGATGAAATTAACAGACCATGACTTTACATGAGAGATTATAAATTAGTTGTGTTATTTGAACAAGAAGATACAAATATTGAAGAAACAAATATGAAACCTTAATGGAGAAAAGAAACAACAAAGGAAAACAACATGGGAGCTTTTGGACTAGAAATTATATCTGAAATAAAACATCGACTGAATGGGCTTAACAGCAGATTAGAAACTGAGAAGAAAATAGTGTGTGTTAAGCCTCTTCAGTCCTGTCTAACTCTTTGCACCCTCATGGACGGTAGACCACCAGGCTCCTACCTCCATGGGATTCTCCAGGCAAGAACACTGGAGTGGGTTGTCATTTCCTTCTCCAGGGGATCTTCCCAACCCAGGGATCAAGCCCAGGTCTCTTATGCCTCCTGCACTGGCAGGTTCTTGACCACCAGCACCACCAAACCGAGAAGAACACAGTAGTGTGCTCAAATACAGGGACCGATATGCCATTCAGGCCTCAGCTCACAGTGGGTAATACGCCTTAACGATGAACAGCAGTGCAGTAACCTGCAGGATGACATTAAATGTCTTAACAACCATGCAAATGGAATGTGAAAAGCAGAAAGGGTAGAGACTGAGGCAGAAAAAAAAAAAAACACATTTGAGGAAATAATAGTTGAAAAATACAAGCCCAAATATCTGAGAAATTCACTGAAGACCAAGAAGAGTAAATACAAAGAAAAATACACCAAGACACACTATAAATAATTGCTCCAAAAAACATGCTAAAGGGAAAATCTTAAAAGTGTTCAGAGGGAAATAACATCTCAACAATGGCACTGCAAGCCAGTGAACAAAGAAAGGAAGTGATGAAAAGAAAAAGAAAGTGTCAGTGTAAAATTATACATCTAGCAAAAATAACCTTCAAACACAGAAGCAAAATAATGATACTTAGGACAAATGCTGAGAAAATTCATCATCAATAGGCATGTTGTATAAGAAATGGAAATTTTTCAGCTGCAGGGAAAACTGGCCATGCTGAAATCACATGAAGAAACAAATGCTGAAAATGGTAAACATGTCAGTAAATATGAAATATTTGCTAATGTTTCTAAAATTTCTTTAGAAGATAATTGCTTAGAACAAGAATAGTAACAATGAATAAGAGGGTTTATAACAAATGTAGAAGTAAAATGTATGATTACAATAGCATGAAGGATATGAGGCAAGGAAAAAATGTACCATACTGAGTTTCACATTTGAAATGATTCAGTATTACTTGAAAGTAGTAAACCCTAGATCAAGGGTCTGCAACTTTTTCTCTAAGGGGTTAAACACTGAATATTTTAGGCTTTGCAGACCATGCTGCTTCTATAACTACTAAACTCTGCTACTGTAGCATGAACAGCCATAGAAGATCCAGAAACAAGATGTGGCTGTGATTAAATAAAACTTTATTAATAAAGACAGGAGGCTGGCCAGAGAGCTGTAATGTGTTAACCTCTGCTCAAAATCAACTTCTCTTTTAGATCTGTGCATTTCACTATATCTAAATTATACTTCCAAAAACATTTTTAAGCGCTCCATCTATATCAAGTGTGTGTGTTTCAGTCTACATGTGTGCTTTCTATAGAACATGTGTATAACCACCTCACAACTACCTTCTCAGTCTTCATCCCCTTATTTATTCAAACTACACTTGTACCAGAATGATGCTTCTATAAGGCAGATCTAATCATAGGTAATCCTAGTTCAATATTTTTCAATTGATCCTCATCGCCTCCAGAAATAAATGGTCCACACCTTCACAAATAAAAGATTGGAACACACCTTCTATACCTTCCCAAATCCTCCCTCAATTTATTATGATCCTCCCTCAAAATATTATTTCTCCTTCAAGGATCAGCAATTTCACTCCAAATATCACCTCTGCAGTGGTGCTGTGATTTGCCATTTTGCTTCTAATATATGACTGGAGGACTTATTCTTTCAGATATTTACACTGCTGCTGGAAGACCAAATATAACTGTGATTCCCTTCAGGGATTCCCTGGGTTAAAAAAGAGGCATTTTTACACAAGGTCATGCCTGTTCCTAGGGTTATACAGATGTAACAATGGGCTGTCCAGGGGCTAGAAATGGTCAATACCATTGTCCCAACTGCAGAAAACTATAAATAGTCACCACAGTCTGGTCTCAGAGCTCCCTGAGAAATTGGAAGTTGAAGCTTCCATGGAGACTGCATCGCATGTTGACTACCACCTCTGCCTATTTCTGCTTCCTTCCCTTCCCTTCCCCAGGTTTTCATCCTGAAGGTACTGCCTACAAAATTTGTACTTCTCTGACTCATAAATTCTATCCTGGGAAATCCAGTCTGCAGTATTTTTTGGAATCACTTTCCTTATACCTGCATATGAGTTTGTTGTCCCAGCTTTGTATTTCATTTGCTATTTCTATGCCACCCCCCACTTTTGCAGTATCTAACATTTCCAATAGTCATATGTCATCCATGTGTTGATTTTACCAAGAAATCTGTAAAATTTTGAAGGAGCCATAGATTAATTTTGGGGTCTTTCTGGTGGCTCAGACAGTAAAGAATCTGCCTGCAGTGCTGGAAACCCAGGTCTGATCTTTGGGTGGGGAAGATCCCTTGGAGAAGAGAATGGTTCAGTTCAGTTCAGTTGTTCAGTCATGCCGATGCTTTGTGACCCCATGGACTGCAGCATGCCAGGCTTCTCTGTCCATCACCAACTCCCAGAGCTTGCTCAGACTCATGTCCATCGAGTCGGTGATGCCATCCAACCACCTCATCCTCTGTTGTCCCCTTCTCCTCCTGCCTTCAATTTTTCCCAGCATCAGGGTCTTTTCAAATGAATCAGTACTTCACATCAATAGTGGAATTTCAACTTCAGCATCAGTCCTTCCAATGATGGTCGTGAAGAGTCAGACACGACTGAGCGACTTCACTTTCACTTTTCACTTTTATGCATTGGAGAAGGAAATGGCAACCCACTCCAGTGTTCTTGTCTGGAGAATCCCAGGGATGGGGTCGCACAGAGTCGGACATGACTGAAGTGACTTAGCAGTAGCAGAATGACTAACACTTTCACTTTCATATATGAA